ACCTTCTCTAGGTCAGTGTAAACAAGCAATTTTTCAAGACTGAAGCAATTACATTCAAGGGCTTTTGTTTTTTGTTTTGTTGGTGTGCTTATCTCCTTGAATTTGCATAGTATATTTTCAGCAACTGCATGAGGGGTTCCTTGGTGCTTTCTGAGCTTGCTTGTTTTCTTGCAAGTGTTTCATTACCCAAACTAGGTAACATCATCATGTCAACCCTGAGCTACAAATATTCTCCTTTGTTAGTATCAGCAACTGCAGTTGATGGACATGAGGGTACCATTCTAGAGAGTAATACTTTGTGTGTGTGAAATATTTCTTCCACCAATTAGCTTCATGGAATAATAATAAACTCTGATATTGTATGAAAATAGTCTAAAACTTTTCTACCAGTGCATGGTTTTAGATAGATCACATTTCCTCTTACTTCCTTTTCCAAAGAAAAGAAGCTCTACATTGTATAAATTTTCTCAGAGAGAAAATAAACCCTGAATAAATAATCCAAAATTATTTTGACTAAGCTTTCAGCTATTTGAATGATAAATGAAATTGCTTGAATAGCTGCCTCTTCGTTCCACATGGATCATTTTATTTATTTGTTTTATTAATTGATGGTGCTGAACTTTATTTATGACACTGGGAAATATACAATATTTAAACAATTTGAGACAAAACAATATGAAACAATAATTTCTTCTTTATCATCAGGTCCGCAACAGAAGTGAGATCTCAGACTGGAAAACAAACAGGATTATCTCAACATTATTGACAATAAGCTGGTGGATATTCAACAATCAGCCTTTTTAAAATTGACTTGAAATGGTGAAATATTTAAAAAGTCTGCATAACACCCCCAAAGCTTTAGTGTTTATGCAGTGAAAAAAAGATAAATCTGTTATAGTTATTAAAAAAAACTAAATGTGACAAAAGAAGAAAAAAACTAACAGAATAATCCATATAATATAAATAAACATAGAAAATTAATCCAGTTGTTAAGCATATCACTAAATATAGACCATATTGCAACGTATGCTCATCTTACTTTTAGAAAACAAAGGCTTTGTTTTTGAAAACAGATAATTCATGTCCGGAATCTTTTCCTTAAAATCAGGAAAGCATGTTTCTGTCTAATTACTTACAATTATCCTCTTTGCCTTACTCCAAGCTCAAAATTCTTAATGAAATAACAAATCCTATTTTAAGGATATAATTCAGTATCCCTTTGAGATCCTTAATATTTCTTCCTAATATTACATAAGCATACGTAACTAAACACAAATAAGGCTGCAACTGAGCAAGGCCAAATAATATGGGTTAAAGGGCCTTCAAATATCTAGGAACACAATGTCTATCCTTTAAAAAAAATTGAGTGGTCTAGTAAACCCCAATATTTTATTTATGAATCATAAGATGTATATTTTTCATTTTTAAATTCCTGGACCAATTGATTTTCTAAAAATGGGTACTCCGATTTTTCATTCAAGGTTCAAATATTTAATTACTTCTGGCTTTCATTTCACTTTTTGGGTTCAAACACTGCATCCTTTAATGAAGCTAAAATTACAGGTAGCCCACAGATTGCCAAAGTATTTGAGCCAAAGTGATTAACATATGTTTCAACTGAATATATCATATTGCACATAGGCAGACACATCAATGTCAAAAGGCAATTTCTCAAAATAGTTAAAACCATCATTAGTAATCAACCAATTTAAAGTATTCATCTTTTGTGTAATCCAAGCCTTCCACCACAAGATCTTCCCTTTTATTTTCACATTTGAGGTATATGGTAATGTCAGTTTTCTTGGACAGATTGCCATTCAAGGAACAAGAGGTTCAATTTTTGGATTCTTCCACCATAAATAATTCATTAATAAATGGGTGTTAGAGTTTGGTTTATACAATTTCTAAGGTGGCACATTAACTTCTTAGCTCTTTGGAAATAAATCTAATTATGATCTTCCTTTTGGAGTACAACTCCGGTACTATTGTAGGTGCATGTGTATCAATTTGAGCCGAGGTGACACAGTGGTTAGGGTGCAGTACTGCAGGCCACTTCAGCTGACTGTTATCTGCAGTTCAGCGGTTCTAATCTCACCGGCTTAAGGTTGACTCAGCCTTCCATCCTTCCGAGGTGGGTGAAATGAGGACCCGGATTGTTGGGGGCGATATGCTGACTCTGGAAACCGCTTAGAGAGGGCTGAAAGCCCTATGAAGTAGTATATAAGTCTAACTGCTATTGCTATTGCTATTGCTAGTTTATCTCTAAAGGTATAGCAGAGACACTCACTTACAAACTGCTGCTGAGTTTTCACTAAATGGCTAGGAGATTTATATGATTCCTTGTGTTATATGTTTATCACAAATAAATGTGAAAAGATCCGGTTTATATATGATGTTGCAGGAAATATGAATGGTCTACATGTCTGATGAGTCTAGCGGGGCGCAAGCTTTTATTGATGCCTGATTTTGCCAAGAAGGCTATTTGTTTTGTCCAGTGACAGTGTACCATTGAATATGAATTTGTAGAGTACTGTGGCAAGAAACAATTGCTGTTTTGAAGCATTTGCTTATGAGCTTTTCAGAGGCATTTTTCATACTGTCTCAGAATGAATTTTCAAAGGAAAATAATGCAGATGGGGAGAGAACTTCATCTCTTTCCACATGTTGCCTACATCATCCTCATCAAGTTGTATCCTTTGTGATGTAGAATTGAGACTAGATCACCTTGTGTCCTACTTTCCATTTGTAGTCTGTTCCTATTATGTGTCAACCCTCCGTGTTGTCATGGGGACAGAATGAGTGGGAGTAAATTCCACCCATACTGTGTGCTGGAATGGGCTCAGATTACCGCTGCCGGTTGGAGGGGTGATTGGGTAACGTGATTTATGATACAGACTGAAGGAGGGGAAGGAACAGGGCTAACGTTCAGAAGCAGATAAACAAAGCAAAGATTTGGCTGCAAACAAATCTTCCCTAATGAAGCTATCAATAAATCAATGGTTTTTGTATTAAAACATTGGCTCGATTATTATGAATCAGTTACGGCATCATTAGGAAACTTGACATTATGTACATAAAGGAGTTAAAGCTCTAATAAGCAAAGGCCAGTTCCTTCTGGACATATGCTAATTACTCTCAGTATAGTTTCCAGTGACTCTGTTCTTTTGATATATAGCTAGAGACATATACCATAGATACAGGCACTGAAGTGAACAAATGTACTGAAAAAGTAGCTTACAACAGATCCTTGCACTGAAGACTGTAACAGCATCCCCATGGTCATGTGATTGTAATTCAGGCGCTTGGCATCTGTCTGGTAACTATGACACTTGCAATGTCCAAGAGAAGTGAGTGGGGAAGCCAGAAGGTGATCACAAGTTGTGATCATGTGATGTTTTTCTTAAAGACTGCTGATGATTCACTTAATGACTGTGGCAAAAAGTGTCACAAAAAGCGGATACAGTCACATGAAGATTTGCTTAATGGCTGCACTGCTTAATAATAATTTTTCTGATCCTTATTGTGGTCATAAGTTGAGGACTACCTGTAATGTAAATTCTTGTTTGTGTCTCTCCCTAATTTTGATCCATGTTTTGCCAATTAATTGTATGTGATATTGGCTGATGTTTAATAAAGTCAAGATATATATTTTTTCTAGCTGAACTGAATGGCACATGTTCTTGCTTTGATGTGGATAAAGGGATTGATTGAGCAAATTCTGGGTATAAAATAAACTGGAAATTACCCACTTTTTCCAACACCATAGAATTGCAGCCCCAGTAAAATTTACTTTCACTCCCCATGGATTATTTTAAATCTGATACTTGAAGTATGAAATTATGTGTACAATAGTTGGTTTAGAAGATCGTGCTTAACAGAAATGCCAGTTTCTGAATCTGAAATCTTTGATAAGCAAACAGAGTGCTTATTATTCTGGTTATTGTTTAAAAAAATAAATACAATTCTTTGTCTAATTGTCCTTCAGCACATGTCAATGGAGTAAAATGGAAATATGATGTTGGCTTTCCATACCTCAGGTTTTTCTTCCTCAGTGCAATAGTGGGATTTAGCCAGTACGCACCTATCGGGGAGCACCAGTTGTTAACTTTCTAGGCAGGTCGGAGAACCGGTTGTTGGAAGAAATCTCATTTTGTTTATTTCCACTTTACAGGGCTAATCCTGTAAGGAAGGCAGGAAGGAAACATTCTGGTGTTGTTTCTAGCCTAATCTTTATTGCCCTGCTTACAGAAACTGCCTCTCCGGTTAATCCTTATTACATTGTAACAACTAAGGCGAAGCGCCCATCGACTGAGTGATGTTGAATTGGCCACACCCACCCAGTCACATGACCACCAAGCACCACCTAACCAGCTGGTCATTAGGGCAGACAGCCGGTTGTTAAATTATTTGAATCCCATCACTGCCTCAATGTATAATCGTGCATTTGAAATTTCTACTAACTGGCATTGTTTTGTTTGCAACATAATTTTGACGATTATTCTTGGGTTAGATTCAACAAGTAATGTCATTTGAAACTTTTAATGGATTCTGTTTCTTTTTATTCCTATGTTGTTATTGTTGAACATTACGGGTGGAAAAGACTGGAAACCCATCTTTTTTGTTTAAAATCTGATTTACTTCAACAGGTGATGCGATGGCAACCAAGACTGGGAAGCCGACATCCATAAAAGAAGAACCAGAGCATGTAGAAATGCAGGTGATGTTTAGAGGAGGATCTAAAGCTAGTAGCTCTCAAAGATGTAAGCAGGAAAGGGGGACTGGAAATCACTACAATCTGCTGCCAGAGAGAAGAGTAAAAGCTACTTCTGATAAAACGCAAAGCAAAGCCGGCCAGTGCAAGGAGGGGAATTTAAAACGCCTTGACCAAATAGTGATCCAGCAACTGATCCACATCGGAGAAAGTAAAATTACCCCTAACAAACAGGAAAATAGCTTCTGCCAGAATGTAGGCATCAACAGATCTCAAATTCTCCATTTAGGAGAGAAGCCGTATCTCTGCATCATTTGTGAGAAAACTTTCCGCAATCACTCAGGACTTATGGTCCATCAGAGAATCCATACAGGAGAGAAGCCGTATAAATGCCCGGATTGTGACAAGAGCTTCAACCAGCGATCCCATCTCACCTCTCACCACGGGACCCACACAGGCGAGAAGCCGTTTAAATGCTTTGACTGTGGGAAGAGCTTCAGTTACAACTCTGGGCTCATCATACACCAGCGAATTCACACCGGGGAGAAACCGTATAAATGCTCCAACTGTGAGAAAAGCTTCAGCCAAAAATCTCACCTCCTTTCGCATCAGAGGACCCATATGGGAGAGAAATCTTTCAAATGCCCTGACTGCGGGAAAAGCTTCAGTTACAACTCCGGTCTCGTCATACATCAACGGATCCACACTGGGGAGAAGCCTTATAAATGTTCTGACTGCGGAAAGAGCTTCAATCAGAGGTCGCACCTTATTTCTCATCAAGGCATTCACACGGGGCAGAAACCATACACATGCCAGGATTGTGGGAAGAGTTTTAGCTTCAATTCTGGGCTTGTTATTCATCAAAGGCTTCATACTGGAGAGAAACCATATAAGTGTCCCAACTGTGGGAAGAACTTCAATCAGAAATCGCACCTTATTTCTCACCAGAGAATCCATATTGGGCAGAAAACCTAAATTCTAAAGGCAATTCTGTATAGTTTGTTAATATTAGCATCATCTTTGCTCTCTAAATAGTAGCTTTTGAAGAACTATGTGTCGTCATCTGCGTGTCCAGAAGCAGTGGACTTGTTTTAGGGTTTTGAAATTCTGTTTGTACTTTACAAATTCATTATTTCAAAATGTGTAGCAAAAAGAAAAGTGGCAGCCAAGAGCAGTGGATAGGACAAGAGGACTGAGGTCAGGGGTTAAAAAGACTACAATAAGTATAAAAAATGCCAGAAAGCTTCATGTACTTTAATGTTCATTTTTTTCAATTTTATAAGAAAATAATACTCTAGTTTTAAATGTAAAAGATTTTAAAGTAACTATAGGAAAATGCTTTAAAATGATCATTAATGTGTTAATATAGATTCTTAGCCTGTGCAAAATATATAGCCCTCCTTCCAAAGTCTCTTTAAGGCATAGAGAGATAGAGGGTAGTTGGATCCCCCACTGCTGAACACGATGCTTTGTTCCTTTTTTGGCTTGGGAGTTTGCTATGCTTAGATTTGAAAAGGAAACCTTACATTTCTACAAACAAAAAAAGTCATATCGTGTGGAATGCTGGAATAAAGATGTGATACAGAGGTAGTAGCCACAGGCCAATCTTCGTTCCTCTACAAATCCTAGACCAGGGGTGGGTTTTTACTGGTTCGGACTGAGTAGGTAGTAACTCGGCCTGCCACACCCTCCAACTGGTTCTATCGTCACCACAAGTGCCACCATCTTGTTTTTTGCTTCTGCGCATGCACAGAAGCATTTTTTACTACTGCGCATGCACATGCCGTGCACCTGAAGTGCATGCACGCCCAAAGCGCATCCCTGAGTGAACTGGAAATACCAGTAGCCGGAACCCACCTCTGTTCTAGACTATATTGTATGGAGGCAACTTTGGAATTTCAAAAGGTAATAAATCAAGAATTTACCCTTGTTAATCTCTAGATTTTCTCTTAATGCTTTTTATAGGAGGTTGCCCAAGTGCAGACTTTAGTATTTAGAGAATGCATTAAGGTTACAAATGCAAATTAAAGTATGGTTTGTTTAAATTAATACATAGCTTAAGTTTTGTTCAATTTAAGTGGTTAGGTGTGCTTCTGACCATCATCCAAGGTGCTGCTTATTGGCTGTATTATTCAAAATATTGCCACATGAAGAGGTCCCATCAAGTAATCCTCAGGAATCCTGTTATTTGCTCTTGTGTGATACCAATATGTGGAATTCCCTGCTCCAAGTGGTCTGTGTTGGCCCTTTATTTAGTAGTGGTCAAAATTGGTATTTTAAAAGAAACATTTTGTTCTACCTCTCTTTCTATGCCTTTTGTGATTTTGTTTTAATTTTTGAATATTTGATCTAGGTTCCAGATCGTTTTTAGATTGCTGTTGTTATTCTTGTTGTTATTTACTACATTGGATCCAGATTTAGTCGCGCTTAAAAAAAACCCCACTGAAATCAGAGGGTTAAGGTAATTGTAACTAACCTGTACCATTGATTTGAATGTGCTTATGTGTAACCATGACAAGTGTATGGCTTTCTTCATTGTTGCTGAACTCCAGTTTTCAACAGCACTTGGCATTATGGTATCCAGTGAGAGATGGTGGAAATTGCAGCCTAACAACATCTGGAAGGTCATTGGGTACCAGGTCTTGGACTACTGAAGTATTGGATGCTGTCTGCCGCCCTGAGGCCAAGGGGTTGACAATATTAAATGTAAATATTAAGTCAATTGTAAATATTAAGTCAGTCAGTATTACATTTTTAAGCATTGATCATTACAGCTTGATCTTCTGTACATATAACATTGCTGATTAGAATGGAGCCAAGGTGGCACAGTGGTTAAATGCAGCACTGCAGGCTACTGCTAGATCAGCAGGTCAGCGGTTCAAATCTCACCGGCTCAGGGTTGACTCAGCCTTCCATCCTTCCGAGGTGGGTAAAATGAGGACCCAGATTGTTGGGGGCAATATGCTGACTCTCTGTAAACCGCTTAGAGAGGCCTGAAAGGCCTATGAAGCGGTATATAAGTCTACTGCTATTGCTATTGGTCTATACGGTAGTTTTTAATGTACTGAAAATGTTTCCTTGCAATAAGTGGGGAGTGTACAATGCTTAAATGCATTTTTAAAAGATATTCTGATATTGGTTGCTTGCTTAGATTTTTACTTTTCCCCATTTTCTCTCCCTCCTGTTAAGCTAAGTCCAAGGTTGACGGAACAATTCAGCTACAGTTCAGTTCTTGATTTGCTTACACCCAATAGAAGAATCTTGCCAGACTAAACACTTACTACTCTCACTTTAACAGATATACTTTCAGAGATCCTAAGGAGTGGCTATTCTTACTCTCTTCCTCTGTCTCCTATCCAGCTCTGAGCTGGGCTGCCTCTTGTCTCATTCTTCTTTCCGAATGTGCTCTCTCCTTGCTGGAAAACTACCATTGTAGTCCATCACACTAATTCCCCCATTGAGGGCACTCTCTCACACACCTCCTCAAAGTCAAATGTAGCCATTACAACTCTAAGGGAATTTATTTTCTGGAATTAACTTTTTAACAACACAAGTAAAACAGTTTTTTTTAAAAAACAAAACCTGGAACCATGCAGAAGGCACTTTTCATGTACCAAATAGTTGAAACTTTGACTTTGATAATGTATCTTCAGAACAGTTTTTCCTGCTGATCTGAGTCGTCAAGTTCATACTAAGAGGCGATCCCATAGGCCAGAGATGTCAAACTCAATTTCATTGAGGGCTGAATCAGGGTTGTGTTTGCCCTCGGTGGGCATGGCTAGTTAATATCACTCATGTTGGGGGCGCATGTGGCAGCCTGAGCTTTCTGCCAGTGAAAAGGGGCTCCCAAGTTCCATTTTCAGCTGCAACAGCCTCCTGCAACCTTCTGTCAGTGAAAATAGAGCTTGGGAAGGGTGCCCACAGCCCTCATGGGAGCTCCATTTTCGCTGGCAGATGCACCTCAGGCATATCCTTTGCGGTTTCCAGGGCAGCCCTGCAGGCACCCCAAGGGGCCGAATCCAGCTAGGCTGCCCTAAGATGCATAGGGTTTTATGAGTCATTACTGCCCTTGAATTATTCCTTTGTTTTAAACATAATTTTTAATTAAAATCTTTAAATACAAATACCTTGAATCATTCCCAGAAAACGCCAGCAATTGTTGATCTTTATTACAGGAATCATGTGATTTCTATATACTATGTCGGTCAGCAGCTTAGCTGCCCTGCTTGGTAGTATTTGCAATTTCTAGACCCTTTTCAAGAACAGCCTCACATGCAACACAGTTAAGGCAGATGGTCAACCTTGCCATAGTCCAGATGGCTCAGGAAAGGTCGCAATTGATGCAGTAGGTGATGCAGTTGGTGTAACTGTGCAAACATTCTTCTTGCCAAATTTGCCGTCTGCAAGACCGGTGACAGATGGAGATTGAGGGGCACTTCCAGACCCCCAACCTGCTCCCTCTGGGGCCTGCAACCTTGTGCAGAGCAAGCTTTTTTCCAATCCCAGAGTCCTATTTTTTTCCCCCAAACCTACAGTAGCTTCGATTTGTCTGGATTGAATTTCAATTTGTTTTCTCTTATCCAGCCTACTATCAGGGTTACTGATTCTTTCCTTGAAAATTGGGTGCCAGTAGAGCAGGCTTTCCTCAATATATAGGTGGCACCTACTTTGAAGACTCTGGACCATAATTTCATGTAAAGATCTTAGTACTAAAAATTCACTGTTTGACGTTGAAATCTATTTGCAATCTTATTTGAGTGTGTGTGCGTGTAGCTGAGAACAAGAAGTGTATTATTGTTCCCCTCTGAGTGGTAATCTCTCTCAGCCTTTCCTTCCTTTGTGTCCTTTAAATGGCTGGTGGAATATGGAAGTTATAATTGAGCACATTTGGAGAATACCAGATAGGAGATAGCAGCCTAGTAAATATTTCCTGATGTAAGGTTTTAGGAGTCATACTAAGGTAAAGGTAAAGATTCCCGACTCTAGGGACGGTGCTCATCTCCGTTTCAAAGCCAAAGAGCCAGCGCTGTCCGAAGACATTCTCCGTGATCATGTGGCCAGCATGACTAAATGCCAAAGGCGCACGGAATGCTGTTACCTTCCCACTAAAGTGGTCCCTATTTTTCTACTTGCATTTTTACGTCCTTTCAAACTGCTAGCTTGGCAGAAGCTGGGACAAGTAACGGGAGCTCAACTCCAAATTGCCGACCTTTCTGATTGACAAGCTCAGCGTCTTAGCCACTGAGCCACCTATAAAAAAAGTAAAGGAATCCCAATAGAAATCAACATCTGGAGAGAAAATGTGGTTGCTTTTTAGTTTTTTTTTTTTTTTAATTCTTCAGTGCATGCTATCAACTTTAGGAGTCAACCATGTGTAGCAATGAGGCAAGAATTCAAATGTTTTGACATAGATAGTCCTTAATTTACAACCACAATTGGAACTGGAATTTTTTTGTCATAAATTGAATGGTTGTAAATCAAGTCATGACATGACCAGACCTAATTTTATGACCATTTTTACCATGGTTTTAAGCAAATCTAACTTTCCCAGTTGATTATTATTATTTTTTGGGACGGAAATCAGCTGGGAGGTGACAAATTGGGATCCCATGACTGCAGAATGTTGCAACTGATCAGAAATGTGGTTCAAGTGTAAAATCACCCCCACCCCCCCCGCCCTTCAAGGCTGTCTTAACTTGAAACCATCTTTCAATGAACAGTTGTAAGTATAACCATGTACCTTAGCAAGATACTAAAATATTAGTGACTACATTATTCCACGCCCATAAAGTGTAAACCTTTGGAAAATTAATAGTAATTTTAAATGGTCTTTTCACTGTGTCTTGTCAAATGCAATGTCTTGGATATCTTGCTCAATAAAAATATAATTTCTTTTTACAGTGTTGGATTTATTTGGCTTTTGTCTCTATTAACTCATATCCAGTAGCGCTCTAAAGTAAAGAAGTTGGTTTTGAACAAAGAATGGTCTTTAACATACGGTATGTACTGTATCAAAAGCAGGAAGGCTTTTTCCTGCAGATGTAATCTGAATGATACTGGCTGGCTGAAGCAGCATAATACTGTGAGTATTTCAGAATAGCTAAATGGGGCATCAGAAATGCTAACCTATTTTTTCCTGCATAAACACGTTCCCCAATAGATTAACATGCTCTGGATGACAATCCAGACTAGGCTGCAACAAGATTAAATATGTGGGAACCAAGTGTGGGATGGAAACTCAGCTGTTGCCTTAGTATATTTATTTAAGAAAATTTATATGGCTGCCCAACTCATTCTCAGTGACTCTGGGCGGCTTATGAGGATAAAAGCTCAATACAGAAACAATAAAAAGCAACCCTAATGACAAAAATCAAATGAGACATTTGATGGGTTTCCATCGAACTCTGGGGTACACCCAGGACCATTGGCAAATCAGGACTCTAGGGTTCTTAATAATTAAGCAGTGATGGTGAATCTTTTCGGTACCATTCGCTCGTCTAGACCACAACCCGGAAGAGAAGCTGCCTGGGGGCATGCATGCGCCGGAAAATGAACTTGTGGTTTCCAGCGTGTGTATGTGTGCCAGCCAGCTACTCTTCTGCATGCACACATAACAATCAGCTGGCCGTCACGCATGCTCACGAAAATGAAAGACCAACTGTTCCAGTTTCTGGCACTGCCACATGCACAAAGGCCAGCTGATCATTGGGCATGCCTGCGTGCCAGAAACCCAGTAGAAGAATGGATGCCGCTGCTCGCGCCAGGTGACATGGCTCTGCATGCCACTTTGGACATGCATGCCATAGGTTCGCCACCACGGTGATAAGAGTGTTAAAAGTAGGGGGCGATCATATCTTCTGTGGGATGATGTTCCACAGGGAAGGAGCCCCCATAGGGAAGGCTTTTCCTTCTGGTCTCACTAGATCAGTGTTTCTCAACCTTGGTAACTTGAAGATGTCCGGACTTCAACTCCCAGAATTCCCCAGCCAGCATTCGCTGGCTGGGAAATTCTGGGAGTTGAAGTCCGGACATCTTCAAGTTGCCAAGGTTGAGAAACACTGCACTAGATGGACCTCCTTAGGAGAGAGGGACCCATAACATTCC